GCACAGCCTCATCTAGGGTGCTCGAAGCTGGTGGTCTCTGGGGAAGAAGGCAGATGTGACCCCTCCTGGACAAGCCTGCAGCTCCCTGGGCAGTAAAGGAGGACTGAGGTCGTCTGCCCACCATGTCCAGGAGAAGTTCCTCCTCCCTGAGGCTCCAGGCTTTCCAGCCCTGGTCCCAGAGAGGAACCAGCTCGGGAGGGTGCTGAGCGCTGTGCTCAGCCCTGGGAGCTTGAGGGCAGCAGGAGGCCATGACCAGTCAGGCACTGGTGCAGCACGTGGCAGGCTGCAGCCTCCTGCTCCCTGGGGCAGGGCCCTGTGTGACAGCCCTGACCCTGCGGTGCTGGGCACCGCTGAAACGAGTGGGGATGCTGGTCCGGGGTGAGGGGCAGTGACCCACACGTGCTGTGCCAGCCCAGGTCTGGCTTCCCCCCACCCCAGAGCAGCCGTTCAGTGCTGCCTCCGGCTGAGCGGGTTGTTCCTGCGCAACAGCAGGACGCAGCACAACCAGACCACATGGAAGGACAAGAAGCTGCGCGTGACCCCAGCTCCGTGTGGGGCAATGTGCTCTGTTGGGGTCAGACACATACACACAGCATTTGTCCAGCAACAAGTGTATTGGACCCCTGTATCGGGGCCTGGCCAAGGGCCTGGCAGTAGCCTTGAGCCGCAGGAGCTCCCTGCCAGCATGGAGCAACTTTTAATAAACAGTTCTGAGGGAAGCGAGGTTGGTGCCTGGCTTTGTGGTGACTGGTCCCTGGTGCTGACTCCCCCAGTACTCCCAGCCCAGCTTGCAGGGTGCCACAGGCGTCCTCCCTTCTGCTGGTGTGGATGTGGCAGGTGCCCCCATCTCCCACTTCGGGCACAGCTGCGGGGTGCATGTAGCCAAACCCCCAAACCGTGTGGGCAGTGGGAAGGGAAGCATCTGCGTGGGGCTGAGGCGTGACCCAGCTCCCTGCCTGACAGCAGAGTGGCCCCTCACCCTGCCAGGGGGACGTGCCCTGTCCTTCCCCTCGTGGGACGCTGTCCTGATGCCTGTCGCACTGTGACACGGCTCTTCAGTGCTGCCTCAGATCTGGCTGAGAGGAGGGAGGTGCAGGGTTGCCAGCATGCTGTGGAACACATCCCTCACAGCTCCCAGCAGCTGGAGGCGGGCAAACATCTGGTCAAAGAGGTGAGGGAACGGCTCCTGCAGGGAGAAAGGCAGCGACTTGGGGCTGGTGGCCATATTGCCCCTCAACGGGCTGGCCCTAGAGGCACTGCTTGCTGCCTATGCACTCTATGTAGACATCCTTGAGGGGCTGGTGTGGGGCTGCATCACACTGCTGGCACCCCAGAGCCTGTTCCCCGCCCTAAGCACGCTGCCCCGCAACTGCAGTCCAGCCCCGAGAAGGGCTGCAGGCCTGGGACATCCAACTCACCCCCAGGATGTGGACTCGGTTGTAGTAGGAGCTGAAATCCATGCTGAGCTGGATCAGGAACTTGCACACCTGCAAGACACAGAGCTGCTGCTGGCACGGCGGGGTCTGGCCAGTCACGGGCCCTTCCCCACCCTAAGCACAGCAGGAGCAGCCCCAGGGGTGTTGCAGGCTCTTCCCTTGGCACCCCCTTACCAGTGGGCAGCACCCTGCCAGCGCGCAGCCTTGCCCTGGGCTGGGACTGTTGGAGCAGCACCCGTGGGTGCTCTGGCACATGGCACTTACTGTCTCTGTGTTGGCTGTGATCCGGATCCCCTTGGTGGGTTCAGGCAGCTGTGCTGCCTGCTGCAGGACTTCAGGGAATGGCAGGAGATAGTTGAAGAGCAGGAGCCATTCACCCTGTGAAAGGATTACGCGTGTCAGAGAGGGTCAGATCTTCCTGGGCCGGCAGCTTCCACCACTGGAGCTGAGGGTGTGCAAGTCCCCACGTCCCCCCTCTCAGCACTCACCTCTTCCTGCAGGCAGGAGAAGTTCAGTTCTGATGCTGGTGGCAGAGGTGGGTACGTGCCTGGAAAGGAGGTGGGAGACTGTCGTCATGCCTGGAGAAGCCCCTGTGGCTGCAGGCACGAGGAATATCCTGGGAGTGGCTGTTAGAGGAAGGTCGCAGGGCTAACGCTCACCCCGCTCCACAGCCCGCTGGTAGGTGTCGAAGAGTGTGGCCAGCCGGGCACAGTTGTACATCACGAAGGCACCACTCTTGGTTCCCTTCGTGGAGATGCTGCTGTCCTCCAGGTCCAGGGTGATCTGAGAGCAGGGAAAAGGTCAGCCCAGGCTGCTCAGCACAGAGCCGCTCTGCTGTTCCCCCAGCTTGCCTGCCCTGGCGCTGCACAAACCTACCTGACTGCGATGAGCAGTGCTCAGCATCTCAAACCTGATGGCAGCCACTGTGAGGGTATCGATCACCTCAGTCCAGGCCTCATCTGCAGAGAACGCAGGTGGCATCACGCACAGCTTGCTCCATTCCCACCTACTGCCACCCCCAGCGCCCAGGCAGGACCCCCCCCCCGGGGCCAGGGGGCTCCATGGGAAGCTTGAGGACCACTGCAGTTCCCCAGCCCTGGTCCCCATCTGCAGGGGCTGCTCTGTGCCGGTGCCCCGTGGGCGGTTTAGACGCCTTCCCCCGGCTCCATCGCAGAGGGGAGAGGGAACGCCCTGCCCGGGAGAGCCCCATGGGCTGCAGACACAGAGGTGGGGAGAGACTCATGGGAGCAACAGAAGCAGGGATGGAACAGCATCTGTGTAGAGCCACAGAGCAAACCCTCACCTTGCGCAAGCTCCCCATACTTCATCACGGAGGCTTCATACATCTGGCGCTTTCGGAGCCTGGGAGGAACACAGATACAGCCACCACCCCTGGGCTGAGCACCCCAGAGAGCACCCCAGCGAGCATCCCAGCTGCAGCAGTGGCCCAGCCAAACTGAAGCAGGAGCTCTGCAGGAGCTGGGTGGGAACAGCCGCACCACAGCCAGCCCCTTGTGCTGCTGCCTGGAGAGGGCTGCGAGGAAGCCACTGTGGGCACAAGCTCTGCCTTTTGGTTGAGAAAGCCCCCCCCACCCCCGCACCAGGGCTGTCCACTAATGCGTGAAGACAGGGGGATAGCACCCTGCACCACTGCAGCGCCCAGCTCCTGCTGCTGCCTTTCCTCCCGGCAGTGCTGAGAGGGCCAGACAGCACTGCTGGAGGCGGCCACTGGGACTGGGAAGGGCCCTGTGGCCTCCATTCTGTACCTCCAGTCCTCTCGAAACTGCCCTGAGGCCACGGAAAAGCCAAATGGATGGACTGCAGAGAATTCTCTGTGCACCACCAGCTCGCTCAGCGCTGCAGTGTGGGTGCCCCTGGGGAGCCTCGGCAGGCAAGCAGCACAGCAGGCACCTTGCTACACACCAACTTACTGGAAATACTGGTCTGCCCCGATGGGCGATGAGGGGTTTGTCACCTTCACTGGCCCACAGACAAGGTGTTTCTGAAAGACAGAGGAGAAGCCGGGGCTGGGGTCAAAGACTCAGAAGCTCCACCAAAACGCAGTGTGGGAGAACCGGGCTAAAACCAGCCCTGTTCCAGCTGCGTCCCCACAGTCTTCTCCTGCCCCTCCTTCTTGAGTGCCGAAATCCCAACGGCAGAGAGGCTGCTCCACCACCTGGGCAGGAGCGTGGAGGGGCCGCCAAGGGAAAGGGAAGCCTCGCAGAGGGACAAGACTGGGCCTCAGCATTTGCTGTGGGGACAGAAGGAGGCTGGCTGAGCGCAGGGATGCTGGGGGCCGCAATGAGGAGGATGGGAGGTTCCTCACCTGCAAAGCTGTGTGGGCTCCTGGATCCAAAATCCTCCAGAGCAGATCCAGCTGCTGCTGCTGGAATTCCTCCTCGCAGCTCACCACGTGCACGATGCTGCAGTGGCTCCCCTGGCCTGCAGCCTGCAGTAGAGCACAGCAGAGAGCTCAAACGCCATCGCGTGAGAAGAGAGAACGTCGTCTGGAAAGCGAGAAGCAGGGTTACTCACCGTGCACTCCAGCACGGCTTCCTGCAGCTCAGCCAGGGACCGCAGCTTCCCCTCTGTCACTGAAAGAAGGAAGGACACTCAGAGTGGGACACAAGGGTTTGCCACCCCCTGCCATCCTGCACCATCGGGTCTGCCCCAGGCTGGCAGCACTCCTGGCTTGAACCACGCTGAACGGCAGTAAGAGGAGAAGGCAATTTGGATCTAATTCCCCCCCTATATTTTGTAAAAACAGTTGGGGAAAAAAGGAATCAGGCCTGTTTGTTTGCAGCTGATCACCTATGCTGTCACACTAGAGACGCTGCATGCATGAGGCTCACCAAGAAGGACATCGAGATTGGGGTCGTAGCCCACCAAGCCCTGCTGCTCCACAAAGCTCTTCAAGTGCACTTTACAGATGACATCGTCAGGCAGCGCGGCTGTGCCTGACCCCTGCTCGCAGGCTGCAGCACAGGGGCACCGTCCCAGCGCTTCCTTCAAGGCCGAGATGGTGCCAGGCAGGTCCGAGCCCCCAGAGCCAGAGGGCCAGTCGA